TCACTTAATTATCATCTTTATCAGTGTGACTGATAGTTGAACCTGGAGTGAACGATGTTAAGTTAAGCATACATCCTGAAGTTTTTTCTGATGTTTACTGAATTACCATCCATTGGTTGGTGATTCATGAACATGAAAAAACTCCAAAAAAGTGGTTTTTCTTAGGTTATTAGAAATAAAAAGTATAAAAAAGAAGTGGCAGGGAAAAAACGAACAGACAACCGTATTAGAATTGATCATCATTGCAGGATAGACCAATTTAGAAAGTATTTACTGTTGCTTAAGCGGTATAGCAACAAGTCAGCATATGTAATCGTGTATCTTTGTATACAAATAATATTTGAATCATCTTTATTCATACAGCTATATCAGCAATCATAGTTAGTTGTTATAGCATAGGAACCAGAATAAGAAAAAAGAGAAAACGTGGGTTTGACGACAATAGCTCATCGGTTAATCGTCGTTCGTATATGGGGCAAAGCATTCCACACAGACAGACTGAGGTGGCACTGGTAAGCAAAAAATAAATTTAAAAAAAACCAACATTCCAGTATGCGGTTAAAACAGAATTTATAATCTGTCTGTTTGACCAATATATTTCTTTTGTCTTCTTACGTGTTTACATTATTGTTGTTGTAACTGTTATTAATCGTTGTTTTAATGCAAATGTTTGAGCTTTATGAGTGGATAAGAAAGTGGAAAAGTCTATCCTATATTTTTGTTATAAAACTGTATTTTCTTTCTTTTACTTTATACTTCCTAAACCAACGGCTTATGGTTTTTTGAAAAAATTTATTCGTTTTGTCGCTACTGAAACAGTGGATAAAGAAATCGTAGTAATGCGTACTTTTCAACCAGCTTACGAGTCGTGAAGTTATGTTAAAAAGAAAGAAAAAAACTGAATTTTATTATAGCATAAATAATATTTCAACCTGATCTGATTAGACAGTTACGAAAGTTCACCTCTAATTATCGCCACCGTCAACAGGCAAAAAAAAAGCAGGAAAAATTGCACATATACATTAAATCCTTTTTTCCCAATACTGCTTAAATTTGCGGTTTCCGCTTTCTTTCACATTTTTTAAACATTTACTACACAGCCAAAAAACAGTTGATTTTAGAACCACTGAAGACCGAGGTCGACATCACGAAGCAACAGCAAAAAAAAAAAATTTAGATTTGCATCCAGCATTACTCTAAATTGTTATCTATAGACATAAAACAACAATAAGAAAAAAGGATTAAAGGCAGCAAATTCAAAAGCGGATACGTTGACACATAACCAAATTTTTCTTTTTTGTACTGCTTCACTGCAAAACTAAAATTGCTATGATGTAAAAAGTATGAAGTAAAGTATCCATAGAACGATTTTTGTACCGCTCAATTCATCTTCTTTTTTTCCTTTTTTGCTACAATCATTTTAAGTAAATACCAACAAAATATACAGATTAGAGGAGAAAAAAACAGGAGGTAAAAGCAACTAATCTGTTAACTTTTTTTCAAGGTGGATAAGAAACCAGCAAAAAAGTTGTGGAAGGATAAAGAGTCGTTAAATCTGTAATTCAAACTTTATTCAAAGAATTCTTTACAATTAATCAACGATAACGACGACGACGACAACGACAACAAAAAACTCAGTACAGTTTTTCATGTGTTTCTTTTTTTCTGTTTTTTTTTTTTTTAATGTTATGAAGTGAATTGATTTTTTAAAAATAAAATTTGTTTAAACTTTTTGGCAAAGAAAAAAATGCTACAGCAGTTTTTCAAACATTGCTTTTTTCCTTCTGAACGTCAAAACCAGCTTGTCCAGCTTTTTTTCTTTGCTCAGTATCAAAGCTAACAGCTCACATAAAATTAGTAACAGTTCATTGGCTTATTATACCCAAACATCAGTGTACACAGCAATAAAATCAAATTGCTTGGCTGTCTGCTTGTCTGCATTCATTATTTCCACTGAAAAAGCACTAATGCGAAATGACGAATGTAAAACCCATCAAAAACTGAACGCATTTCACTCACAAACGGATGGTGCCCGTCCATATCATTGGTCTCAGTGAGGGTCAATTCAGACCTGACATCTGATGCGTGATGACATTGGGCGATGATCATTCTGTGACTTATAGCGCACAGGCAGTTGGAGGCGCAACTCCAGCCGTAGCCTTGTCTGATACAGTTGTTCAGGGTAGTTTCTTGGTAAGCGATTGCGGTTCGACGGTGCTGGTTGGGAGATTAGAGTTTGACTTCAGATGTACTAGTGAAGCAAATGTAAGCTAGTGATGATCGGTACGCAGGAGATAGTGAGTCTGGGCGTGTTGTCAGAAAGTTCAGGATAGAAGGGAGCAGCTGGAAGAACAGAAATCAGACAAACCCAAGAGCTGGACATTTGCTTTCTTGTGACGACGGATCATGGTAGCTTTCGTATCCACTGTTCACAGCAAAACGACTTTGAACTGTTGCGATAGAAGGCTGTGACAGATATATTTCCTGCAGTGAAATTTGCATGGATACATCTTACCGGTTATTCTCAAAATGAACTATAAATTTCAGAAAAAAAGAAAACAGTCGCAGTTGTCAAGATTTCAAAAACAAAATGAAAAAAAATCAGTTTTTTAAACAGAAGACGTTTAAATAAAACTGTGTATAGGCAGAAGATTTTGTTCCTACACAAAGTCAAACGAAAATTAATGACTGCAACCGTATTGAATTTTTTGAATGTAATTTAATAACAATACAGCGGTTCTGGTTTTGAGAATAACGATTACCTTGTCGTTCCTTCGTTTGCTCATTAGGCGTTTAAAAAAAAAAAAAAGCATTTTTCTCATTTAATTTATTTGG